AGAATAAAGACTAAATAGTAAAGATTAAAGAGTGGGAACTTCTAATAATACATAAATAGCCCCAATTAGACCTGCCAATTGGATCATCAGGTTGATCCATGACCCAACCCAACCCAACCCAATTTTTCTAGGTTAGGTCAGGTCGGGTCATTCACAAATTCAGGTAGCTAAACATGAGACCCTAGCCCTATTTTTTGGTTTGGGTTTGGTTGGGTTTGCAGGTTGAATCAACTTTTTGCCATGTCTACTAGAGAGTCTTCGTTTTGGAAATTTCCAATGTGCAGAGACTTCAAAATCTGGATATTATTCACTTATATTTTATAATCTTGAGTTTGAAATATTAACAAATTAAATAACGATGTGTATTTGGCATGCTTCTATTCAATGCCCTCAATGGATCTTCCTACCCCATTGTGTCCACCTCCCAGAAAACCAATGGCTAGTGATCAGCCTGGCGAGTTTCGCCGGCAATACTTGCATGACTAATGATATCGTAAATGAAGGCCTCCACGTCAATAGTACCCTTCCTTTCAACATCACTACCGCAACAACACCATTATTTACTTCAACTGCTCCAACATTTTGCTGCCATCACCATTGGATTGTTTGTCCACAGGATTCTGCCACACCTACAAAAACAATACTGCTGTAGTTTTAAGACTGGAGGATCCACCACCTCTTATATGATCAGGGTTTGGGATGCAGGGCTTACATTTTCCTTTTTCACTTTTTTAAATTTCAAAGATTTATGAAGATATAATGGGACAAGCATGCCATTTAGTTTTGTCACACAAGTGAACCGGGTCATCCATGTGAATTATGTCTTCCAATCTCATTGGAAGTGCACCTTAGCACATACCAAATGAGTGTAGGTAATCTGGTCTCTACTAACACTTTGTTTTATTTTATATTAATAACAATAGTAATCAATAATTAGGGGTGTCAATGGACCAGTTTTGGATTCGACCTTGTCCAAATCAAAATCAATTTGGATGGATTGAAGAGACCAATAAGATACATTTTTGAATTCGACTATTCCAATCCAAAGTATTTATTGGATTGAATTGGACCTGATCCATCCATAATGGGTTTATATTGGATTGGGTTGGTTGAACCAATATATCTGGTCCATTGATAGAAAATAAGAATACAAGTGTCAATGGACCGTGCTTGGTTAGAACTAATCTAAATTAAGACCGATTTGAAAAGATTAAATGGTTCAGACATTGAATTGGACCACTCCAAAATGGTCTAAAGTATTCATTGGATTGAATTGTTCCTTATCTATCTGTAATGAATCATATTGGACCAAAAATCAGAATCTGGTCCAATTGACACCCACTGTCAGCATTACCCTAAACATACAACATTGTAGCTAATAATAAATTTTGGAACACGGAGTGTTTTTTATGCAGGTTTAAGGGTTTCGTCTTTTGTAATTCGGAGGGAAGCAATTCAAGATTTATCTGAGGTTATTTCATAGGCATTCATAGATTTGATGACGCATGTTGAAATCAATATTTATCAATGGCTAGAAATTACACCTTAAGGATATATCAAGGTCTATTGAATAGTTATGTTATTTTTATAAGCCTATACTGAATAGATATGTTGATATCTTTTGTTTTTATAACTTGTTGAAGACAAATCTTTTCAGTCCACACAGCTTGGTACCTTGGACTACATTTCATTACATTACTTGGTATATGATGGCATGTTTTAATGGTGGTGGATGGTGTTACTTTGAAAAATATGGTAGTTTGGACTACATTTCATTACATTACCAACGCATATTGTTTGCTTTAACTTTGAAAAATATGCTTTGAAAGTCAAAATTGCCAAACAAGCTTCAAAGCCAGAAGTCTGAAGTAAAAAGCCCAAATTTGACCTTTTATTTTGGGCTTTAAATGGCTTGAGAGCCAAAGCTTATCCAAATGCCACCTAAATTTCACAGGGCACTTTTTGACTGTTAGTCTATTTGCAGAGAAAATGAAATTTTGGCTCAGTTTGGAAAGAGTATAAATACAAATATGTACGGTACAAATACATATAAAATATAAGGTTTTGAACTGTACATATTTATATTTGTACTCCTTCCAAACAGAGCCAAATTCAGTACAAATGCATAAGATGTAAATCATAAGAATGCAAATTCCAGTTCACTTTTGCTTCATCTTTTTTACTTTATTACATTTCAGGCTTTATTTTTCTTCATCTACAGTGATGACAAACAAAACAAAGTAAAACCTGAAATAAAAGTAAATCAAAATTTGCACTCCCATTTGATCGGTTTGGAAAAGGTACAAATACAAATTTGCATAATATAAATACATACAAAATAATACAAAATATAAGTCTTTGCACTCTACATATTTGTATTTGTACTCCTTCCAAATTGAAACAAATGAAAAGAAATTACAATGCAACAGTGTAATTTGCATTGTCAACAACTGACAACCAGCACACCATCTCCTTCTACAAGATCCAACCACCAAAAAAGATAACCTAGAACAGATCGAAAGGAAACATCCTTCAATGCATTCCTAACCTTTATTGTCAATATCAAGGTTTTAAAAGGTTTAAGGCATAGTTGAGGTATAGTGGCCCAAAAAGGTGAGGTGTAAGCCTCAAAGTTTAAGGAAAAAATAATTAAAGTTTGTAAATTGTTGTAGTAATAGTAGTCGTCGTCGTCATTTTACTTTTCTATTTAGCCTAAAATTTGCACTCTCATCCATGATGCTCGAGGCTTAAGCCTTTTTACACCTCAGGCTATGCCTCACACATTGGTGTTTGAGGCTTACACCTCATTTTGATAAGCCTCACAATAAGGTGAAGCTTAAGCCTTGGGGAAAATCAATGCCACCTCGGTAGACTTAAGCCTTAACATGTACACTTCGTGCCTCGAGGCTTAAAGCCTTTTAAAACAATAGTTAACATCTATACTTAAAAAATATGAGAAAATAGATAATTTGCTACATGATATCGAATCACAATATGATCTTAAATGGCACTAAGTATTAATGAAACATAACTTGTTTACATCATTGCTTAAATTTCACAAAAACACAAAAGCATACAAGGAATACTATCATAATTATATAAGTTAGCTAATGATCAAAGTAGTTGCATATAATAGTCTCCAACCACTCAATTTTAACAGAGTAAGTTGATCTATCACAAAAGCTCCTCCACATTTGCTGATGATGCATATTGTCAGTAAATATAATGTGTTTTAACATACAGTGGATTTCTTTTTGTGAATACCATATCTCTTAATTTTTGCATGCAATCATTTACGCTTGGTTCCTCGATGACTTGTAATAAATTTTCAGAACATTCGATGAATGTTTCTCCATAACAATTAAACATTCTAATTTTTACAGCCCAACATATGAAAAGCAATGCTAGGAAGCGGATGTATTTTTCCCAATCCATTGGTAGTTGAAATGTATAGTCATATAAAAAAATCCCACCAACTGAAAGACCTTTTTCTGACAATAAGTCATGATACGTTAAAAAACAATATATAATAGGTTGGTTAAGCAATAATATTCATGACAAAGTAATTTTAGACTATTCATAAGTTACAAATAAAAAAGGAAAAAAAAATATTGAGCTGACGCTTGAGACTGTAGCTAAAACCAATGACAAAATATTCTCACTATCCAAAAAGTCTTTTCACTATCTATTGTAACCATGCGAGTTGCACATTTATGGACACATTTCCATGTAACTTCATCCACTCCCTCCTATATTTTACATCCTTGACAAATAGCATAGATGTTGAAATATACATTTGGTGTGTTTCAGAAACTCCTAAATCAAGCAATGCCTTTATACATTCCAGACTATAAGTTGTGCTTCAACTTCATTTGGATGTGGAGCTATTTGGGTTGGCGTAGGCACTATGGGTTGTGGTGGAGGTGCCTCCAAAATCTCCATGATGCTATTGATAGAATTATTAATGCTTTAAAGTTCTTTAACCACTTCCGCTCCCTTGGACTTTTTCCGTCTAATGGAAGACAGATCGGGCATAAAATTGATTAACTTGCCGTTGTCATCATTAGATTCATTTGCTCCCTCCCTACTTGATATTTCATGCCAAATTTGGAACCACTAATAAAACATGCTTTACTAATAGAAGTACACTTCAAATTGGGCAACAAATTTCCTTGCACTAACCCTTCCACCCTAGGACCCCGACAATTTTGTTTGGTGACAGTCATTAACCCATTGGAGCCCTAAATGTCTAAATTTCTTTACGTGGGAGTGATTTTGTGTTTGTAGACGACACAAGGAGTCAAGAAAATTTTTAATGGGTATTGATATGAAAAAAATCGAATAATAAATATTCATTACCTTCAAGTAATCATCCCATTGTTCATTAGACCAAGTCATTGAAACAATGACAAGGTCAAAACCTTCACTTGTCATGGATTAAGGAAGACCATTCTTAATAATGTTTCCTCAAATAATCATATTCATTTTTTAGCTGGAGTTGCTCTAAAAACACCCTAGTAACTTCTTGTATCTTTTGAGCTACATGTAACTAAGACTCCTTTCTAAGTGACATATCCAATTGGCTGACAATGTTGACCTCATTTATAAAAGTATCTAAGAATGCTTTTACTATTCAAGACTCCTTTCTAGTATCACTGCAATATGATATTATGGTTGGAATACAATGATGAATATTTTTGAAATTTTCATGTTTTGGATGAGTTTTTTGTTTATATATATACATGCATGCATGTATGTATGTATGAATGAAACTTTTTTAAAATTTTGGCTAAAATTCATCCATCCAATATCATGTGGGTGGCAGTTGTCCGGAAAATCCACTATCTTAAAATCATGCAGAAATTCATAGCATGGTTATGATTCTTTTTTCCATTTTAGGAAAACAATATATGACATGGAAAAGGCAAAAGCTAGAAGTGGGGGCAATACCAATTCCTAAAGAGCCTTCCCTCAACTTTCTATTTCTCTAATTTTCTGTCAAACCAAGCATAGCCTTGGAAAAGACGGGAATTACAAACATTGGCAAAATGCCTCATTCAAAATCTTCTCTGTAATCCCACAATGCATCAATTTACAGTAGTTGAAGCCGAAAGACCTAAAGCATGCCCCCTTGATGAAGGCAAAACCATTTGTAACCTCTTTATCATTTGATCAAGTTTCCTCAACTTGTCAGCCTCACCTGCTTGCACCAAAGACCTTTCCAACATGAGGAATACTCCTTCACTCAGATGCCTTCCTCTCTCCAGCACTTGCTCAGAACACATGTAAGCTTCCTTCACCCTTCCTCGGGAGCACAGGCCTGCCACCAACAAATCCAACGCATGCCCGTGGGGACAGCAACCTCTTTCTACCAGATACTCCCACAGTTCCAATCCCAAATCAAGTCGTTGATTCTCACAGAAGAATTTCATCAACATCACCACTGTTTGCATCTTGGGCACAAAATTTCTCTCAGCCATCTTCCTATAGAGCTTATGAACACCCTTAATGCCATCTGACCTCTTCAATCCTAAGAACAACGTATGATAAGTAACGTTATCATGCCTGACATGCATCTTTTCCATTTCATCCATCAACCTGACTGCAGACTTCACATCTCTTCCTCTGACGAAAGAAGCCATAAGAGCATTGTAAGCCCCAATATCAGGTTTCAAATTTCTCTGTGAAATTTCATCGAACAATTGCCGGGCTCGTGACAGGTTCTGAGCAATCCCTGCACCATGTATCAAAGTGGTAATTGTTTCTAACGTTGGAAAGCAATTTGATTGTTCCATCTCTTCGAGAAGCCTTAAACCATCACCCAAGCAACCCTTCTTACAGTAAGCATCAATCCTGATATTATACGTTACAACATTCGGCGTAAACCCTCTGCGAATCATCTCATGGTAGAACAGTTCAACAGCAGTAACATCGCCAGACTCCTTGAACCCCAAAAGCAAGATATTTAAAGTCTTGGTATTGGGAGAAAACCTTGAATACATCTTCCCAAATACAGCCCGAGCCTCCTTCATCTGCCTCTGTGTGCAAAACGCTCGAAGGAGTACATTAAACTCGTCTACACCAAACACTCTCCCCACAAAAATTTCTTTCTCCATCCTATCAAAGGCTTCAAGGGTATCTTCAAAGGATCCAAACTTGGCCAATTTCGATAGTACAATGCTCATAGACTTGAGGGTGAGCAAGGAAGGATATTTCTGTTTCATCTCTTCCATTAGCTCCCAAGCTTTATCGAAATGCCGCATTCTAGTAAGGATGTGGAGGGTCTTCTCGAATGCGTCGGGACTCGGACAGAAGGATTGAGAGTGATGGAGAGAGAACTTGAAGAATTCAAAGGCTTTGAGGCCATTGGAGTGGCCGGAGAAGAGTCGGCCGAGGACTTGTTCGACGAGGGTGGTGGAGAGGAGAGAAGGTGGGATGTGGCGGAAGAGGAGGGGATGAAATGGATGATCATTGATGAGTCTAGTGATTCGGTCGATTTCGGAATCGATTTCGGGGATGGGAGGAGATAATTGGGAAGAATCGGAAGAGATGGAGAATACTGAGGTGAGGTTCTGTGGGATTTGGATGAACCGTTTGGGTTTCTTTGGCCTTATTGCAAGCTTCATTCACATAATAAAACTATTAAAAATATGAAAAATAAATTTTGATTTTTTTTACCTCAAACTTCCTCCTTCAACTCTGTTGCCGCCTGAGATTTCTGCTACAATCCACGCCGGTGAACTGACTCTGGTTGCAATAAAGCTTCACCGTAATTGCAGTCGAGGCCGGATAACAGTAATCGAGCAGATGAATGCAAAGTACAGCATTAAGAAGAAAAGGAACTGAGAGGTTAGAGAATAGACAGGACTCAAAGATTGATGTGAAGAAAGCAAGAACACTGAAGACTCGAACAGGCTTGTTTTCGGTGAGGGTTTTAGTCTTATTGGGTTTGTCAAATTTGGGCTTTCACATTAAAATTAGCATTTTACGTAATGTTAGGGTTATTCTTGGTTTCGCCTTTAACCCAGCTCAACCAAAGGAAAAGCGGGATTTAACGAGGGAGTGGGGAATTAGAAGCATTGACAAGGTTGTATTTGGTTTGAATATTGTAAAAGGTAGGGAAATGTGTATAAGGTTAATAAAGTTATTAGAGAGAGTAATAATAGATTTTATCAGAAAAAATTAAATGAAGATATAGATCCATGAGGTGAAATTAAAGCAAAATAAATCCTATGACATTTCGAATTGGACCAAGCTAATGTCTAAAAAGAATAATTATTTTTTATTTTTAAAATTTTATTCATGTAATTATTTTTAAATGGATATTAAATAATAAAACTTGTAAACTAAGTACATGTTTAGAGATTGTTAGACAAGTTTGTATTGATTCTTTATTAAATTTTATTATTTTAAATTATAAAAATATTATAATATTAAATTTTTACTACTTTTTATTAATTGTAGTCACTATATATTGGGCTTACAACTTGGGCTGGGTTAATCTGAAAAGATTGGATTTGGTTTAGGGTTAGAGTTGAGGCTTTGGCTAAACCTATGCAAGTAAAGTACTCACATATATGTATGCATGTAGCATTTATGTATATGTGCAACTCTGCATCCATAAACACACGTATGTATGTATATACACCCCAATCCAACCCCAAAACTTCAGATTAGATTAGGGTTGACGTTAAATTGACCTAATCCAGTCTCATTTGCATATCTATTATATATCAATTTATATTATTTTAAATTATTTTACAAGGATCCTAATTTGCATCCATTTTTTTATTCTTATTGGTTAGTTAGGAAAATTTGTGTTGATTTATTATTTTTATTTATAAATTAATGTTTTTATAAGATCAATTTAATTAATTATATAAATTGTGAATTTATTAGAAAAAATTAGGGTAAATTACAAATACCTCCTTTGTTAGGGTTCTGTTAGTTAACTTTGAAAAAAATTCTTATTCAGCTGTTTAACTTTTTTAATTCTTAAATTGCAATTTTCTTATTTATTTGAATGATTTATGATTTGATTAGTTTTCTAAATATAATATTGGAGTCCCCTTAGATGTTTTAAGTTCTAAAGATCCTTGTAGATTTTTTGTTATATTCAATATTGAAATGATATGGTAGAGATTTCTTTTTGATAAATATAAACTTAAGGTTTCGTTTGTTTTTTCTTAATTTCTTGGAGAAAGGAGTGGATTATTTTTATATTTTATGATGAAAAGAGACATTCATGCCAACAAAATGAAACAAGAATTTAATGAAACTTGTTTTTTTCTATGCCAATGAAATGATTCTTATTATTTTAGTTGGTTTCATTTGGAGAAAATGGAGGTATTATTGGGTCAATTAGGGTTTAATAGAAACGGATGAGGAAAATAAAATAAAGAAAGCTCGTGTAGGTATTTTGGTAATTTAATGCATTATGCTATCATCTGACCTAATGGCCATGCCGCCATGGGGATATTTGTTGTGAACTGAAAATTCAGTGGGTCTTTGTTGCAAATAAAATTCAGGGGTAATTGTCATTGACCCCATAGTATAGGTTGATCTTTGTCGCAAATGAAAGTTAAAGGGGGTAATTGTAGGAATGGCAATGGGGCGGGGCACCCCCTCCTCATCCCCTCCTCGATGGGGCGGGTTCGGGGCAGAGCATCCACTCCCCATTAGGGATAGGGAATCCCCGAATTTTCCCTACTCCAAGGCAACTACTTAAAAATTATCTATTTTATGGATAATTTATACATAGGATATAGGAATTTGGGGGTATTTTAGAAATTGAATTATAATATTTTAGGGGTAATTCGAAAATAGAATTATGGGATCCTATGATTTTAAGAATTTAGGGAAAAACTTAAAGATATTTTAAATATCAATACTAAACCTAGAGATATTTTACTAATTTACTTTCGAGCTCAGGGCGGGTTCGGGGAATTATATACAAAACCGTCCCCGCCCTGTCACCGGTTCGAGGAAAAAATATTTTCCCCATCCCTGTAAAATTCAGGGCGGGGGTGGGGGCCCGATTTTACGGGGGAAATTGCCATCCCTAAGTAATTGTCATCGACCCCATAGTACAAGGCGGTTTTGTAATTTACCCAAAAAATCAAGACATAATAGAGATCTGATTTTGACTTTTATATTTTAATAATTAAATTAAAAAATAAATACTTGTTATATGTGAGTAATGAGAGGATTCTTGGTCTTCCTCTTTCTTTTATAAAATAAATGTGCATGTGCCTTGTACATGGCAATTTTAGATTTAGATGATGGTGATAATGATGGTAGTAATTTTTGCCTAAAATTTTCTACAATTTTTTGTATTATATATATATAACTTTTATTTATAACAATCTTTTTTTTTAATATGATGAACATATAATGTTATAAGTGTTCCCAAATGTTTTCTACAAAATTTCAGTATCTTTTTCATAATTTTTGTGTTTTTATCTTTTTAATTTTTTTATTCAATTATGACATCAAGGGTTGACACATTTGACACGAAAATGTTGAACTAGGAACAACAACGTAATGAAAGGTTATAAAAACTGGATAAGACATGGAATTGTTCTGGCCACCAGTTTTTAGGTCGAATGGTTCAATCGTTTGGTTCGAATGGATGACCTATTTTGACTTAAAAATAAATAAAACAAAAAATGGCCAAAACCGTTGTCCAAGTCGATGGGTTGATGGTTCAATTGCTCGGGTTAGTGGGTCATTGACCAAATCAATGGTTTTTGGCCCATAAGGGCTTTTTGGTTGAAATAGAACCAATCACTTGATCGGTTCTCAGGTCAATAGGTCTGACCGTCCGATTCAATCTGGTTTTCAAAACCATGGCATAATTGGATACGAGGAGCCAGTCATGATCCCTATCCTCACAAAAAACCCCATCCCCATCCTTGGTTCCCATCCCTACCAATGGGGATAGGGATTTCCTCATCCTTGTTTCCATGGGTTCCTATTCTCTGCCATTTTATTTTATAATGCCAAATTCACTTTTTTTTTATTTCTACATCATTCATTTTTTTCTAAAATAAAAGTTACAATTTACAATCCCATCAAAATAGATACAAATATATTCAACCATATTTTTAAAAATATTAACACAAATCCATTGATTAGTCATAAGAAAAACACAAATGCCATCAAGAAAAATGATTTTAGGAGTTTTTTTTAATAATCAAACAAAATGGTTTTAGGAGGCTATGATTTAAGAAGAGGTTTGTGGTAATTGGGAATGTTAGATGGTATTTTGAAATTGAGGTGATGTTGAAAAATGCAAAATTCCTTAAAAAAAAAGAAAAAAAAACAAGGATAGGAATGGGAATGGGGCAGGGCCCCCCTCCCCCTCCCCTACCGCCATAGGATTATGTCATTCTAGAGGTTGTAGAAATTTGGAAAAAATTCAGAGATATTTTAGAAATTAATGTTAAATCTAAGGGTATTTTAATAATTTGTCACCAGAGCCGGGGAATGATATACAAACCCATCCCAAAGAAATCTAGTTCCCTTTTGAAAAAAGGGAATCAAAGATTCTTCTTGTTCCTATATAATTCTCATGTATGTGAATGCGAATCTATATTCGTGTTTCTTCGTAAACAATCTKYTCATTTACGATCAACATCTTCTRGAGCCCTTCTTGAGCGAACCCATTTCTATGGAAAAATAGAACATTTTGGAGTAGTGTTTCGTAATGATTTTCAAACCATCCTATGGTTGGTCATGCATTATGTTAGATATCAAGGAAAATCCATACTGCTTCAAAAGGACTCCTCTTTTGATGAATAAATGGAAATATCACCTTGTAAATTTCTGGCTCCATAGGGCAGGCCTTGGTTTTATGGGAAAAATTACAATCCCTAACTATGAAATATATCTACAGGTGTTAATACTTAAAAAGGTAAAAGGTAAGGTTGGAGAAGAAGCGCCCCAAAAATAAAATAAAATACTTTTTGAATGTTGTGCAAAAATAAATCCGCCCACCGTGGGGCTCGAACCCACGACCACAAGGTTAAGAGCCTTGCGCTCTACCTACTGAGCTAGACGGGCTTTTGATAATGTGTTTCCTTGATCCTAATTTATCTAGCGACTAGCGGCTAGCGCCCTAACTCATCCTAATTAAGAAAGGTCTTTTTGTAGATAATTCATTGCTAACATCATCATATTCCTAACAGGATAGACCATAAGTACCGATGTCAATGGACAAAGTTAAATGGTAAACCTGGACTTCACCAACGCTCAGGTTCAGGTCAGGTCTAGTGTAGGATTGGGTTAGGGTTTTGATTTTTTTTTTTTTTTAATTTAAGTTGGGTTCATGTTTTGGTTCATCTGCCCTATTAAGTCATGATACCAATCCCTTACATTATATGGGGTATTCGTATAAGTTGTTGACTCCTAACTCCATTGTCTTAAACTTTAGGATTTCTTTCCATGTTTATTTTGATTTTAGTAATGAAGAAATTGACATCTTAAAATCACATTCCAACATCAATTAATGGTTAATTTTTAGGTTTTTAAAATTTATCATAAAAAATATAATTGAGCGAGTGTGAGTTGAGTTGGGTTGGTATGGGGTTTAAACTTTAAACCCTATAGGGCATGGGCGGGTTCAGAAATTACATATTATTTAATTAGTCAAATCGGGTTGAGTTAAAGTGGGAACATTGGAGGATCAAGTTAAGGTTGAGACAAACCCATACCAAACCAACCTCATTGACATCCCTAATCATAAGGCTTTATTTTTACAGTGTCAATCTGAACTAGATACAAATTTTACACCTGATTTGGTTTTGTGTTCGTTTGCTTGTAAGGTTAAGTTGTAATTGGCAATGCAAGTTTTGCGTACTAAAAACTAACCAAAATTTGCACCACCTTCCTCCTGCATCAATTCGATCTCTCACATATCAAGTGGGGATTACATCAGCTTGCTTCTCACCTCACTCTCAAGAGCCAATAACCCTCTCATACAAGATGGAGACTACATTCTTTTACTCCTTATATTACTTCTCACAAACAAATAAGAAAAAAATCAAATATGAAGCAAAAGTAAGCCAGAATTTACATTCGACCTATTTGCAATTTCATGCATTTACACAAGATTTGATTGCCCTTCGAATCTGAACCAGATATAAATTTTGCATCTAATTGTTGTAGCTATGATTTACACTTCTATCTGATGCAAAATTTGTAATTTTTATCTCATTTGCAGTTGTTTAGCGGTGTAAATTTTAATCTAAAAAATTGATGCAAAATTGACACTACCTTTCTCTTACTTCAATTCTATCTCATATAAAATGAGGACCATATCATATATCTTGCTTTTTATAATCAATCCTAAACAAATAATCCCCACCTCCATTCTCTTTCATAAGAGTTGGAACCGCACCACTTTAATTTACTTTTCACAAACAAATGAGACACAACATCAAACCTGAGGTAAAATTGAACCAGAATTTAACTCCTGTTTGCACTTACACGCATTTACAACAGTGCAAGCAGCCAAAAATAGTGTTCTAATTAGGGGCTTAATGAGGACTCTCTTTTTTCTGTTTGTATATATGATTCATTCTATTCATTTGAGAAGAAGTTGATCAGAAGCAGACTAGTAGAATCCATCTATTGACATAATTGAAAAAATGAAAACTAGAACAGTTATAATCTCCATTTATTTGCAGGTTAGATAAGATCAGGAAAAAAAAGTCAATTAGAAATTGAAGGGAAAGATGTTGAGCATGTACGTGAAAGGATTCTTGCAATAAGCTTCGCAGTGTTCCATCCAAAGCATACAGACTCAGTTTATTTAAATAACCTAATCGACACAAATAAACAATGCTACACAGACCAAACAATATGCATGGAGAATTTGTAGCAAGCAAGAATTTGCTTCTTCACCCATTAATTGCTCTACATGAAGTACGTATTTCTCCTTCCTCACCTGTCTTCACGCCTACACTACAAAGCTTTTGAAACGATTGTGTCCATTGTTGAAAGAAAATCTCTTGGCTACGGGAGAGCTCCTCTACTTTTGCCTTTGTTCTTCCATCAACAAACAACACTGAATCTGACTGGAAGAGCCCCTTGTGGGATATGAGGTTCCTGTAATACTGGTTGTCGAACAAGAGGGACGTTTCTGGGTCATTGTTGACAGTTACAGACTCGCTAGCCCCTATAGGGCACTGCTTTATCAGTTCTCTTGCATAAATTTTGTCTAAAGATGCATCAATGGATGTCATGGTCCCATTCGAGTCTTCTTGGAACCGATCACTGAATGTACTACAATGTGCTGATCCTATTGTGTGAGCTCCTGTGAGATTAACAACAAACCCAGAATGTAATTATTATTCTAAATCATACTGCTACCAACTAGACAATCTTAACTGTTTGATGATAAGACGTGGGCCTTCTGAGTTTTAGAGGGAATATTGCTTTGGGGCCTTCTGATAATGGCTGATGTGTGTTTGAATGGAATATTTCTTAGGGGAATATTGTAATCAACCCAACTTCAGATTCAGCCATTAGAGAGTTTACAACCTCCATGCTAACTCATTCACTTGATCAGCCATTAATTTCAACTTTTATCAAATAATCCCTCCATGCAATGGCAAAATCTCAGGTTGATATGAATAAGAATCTGGCAATGGCAGAATCTGGATTTGCTCCATCCAAGAGGCAAGCCATTAATTGATCCTCTAGATTAATTGAATCATTAAGTAAATGCAGATGGGTTGTATATTTTTGATACCTGAAAGAGTAACAAGGTCATCTAGAGACAACCCTTTAGAGGAGAACAACTCAAGCATCTCATCCAAGGTGAAACTAGTGTCCACCATGTTTGGCCTCACATTAGACACTGAAGACACTCTTCCATCTCTTCTACCTGTTGGAATATTAACTGATGGTCCTCCAGCCTGTGTATATAAAATACATAACCCTCTGGTCACGCTCTTGCTATGTGTGTGTTAGAGAGAGAGAGAGAGAGAGAGAGAGGTTACAAATTCAACAGCATCTCTAGCAGCTAAAGCAAGGATATCTGAACAAGAAATAGTTCCAGGACAGAAGAGTTCAAGCAAGTCTTTGGCAGAATCGACTACTGAGAATCCTCCAAGCGATGCATTGGCTGGATCACTCCTTTCTGTCTGATTTCCTTCTAGTAGCACGGAAGCATCGCAACCCTATAAAGTTAAAAGCAGAACACAAAGAAGCAGAGTTATAAAAACGGTTACTTTTGGTAACTGATGGGTTTTTCGTTTGGACAGGTTTTGATTCACTGACCTCCACCATGCAGTCATGGAACAGTAAACGCAGGAGTTTTCCAGGGACTGTTGGATCCAAGGCCGAAGCCGACCTCACTGTGTTTCTCACCATGAGTTCTGCTGTTGGGCATGAAGCTGCATAGAAGTTGAAGAAGAGCCTAGACTCGGAGGAAGCAGCCAATACCCCGATCTGGAAGAGAAGCGCCAGGGTAACAAGTATAAAAAGGTTGTAGAGATCAAGAGAAACTGGAGATATTCGTTTTGGCTCCATACACAGAAGGTTTGATCAAAGAATCCGAGCAAAAGATCAGAGCTAATGTACACTGTGTTTCTCTTACTTGCTCAATAGTCAATACTGTTGCTTGTACACACTACTCGGAGAGAGAAAGAGAGAACTGGAGTAATGGCTACCGCCTTTTCTTAAAGCAGCATTTATTAGTTTCAGTGACTGCAAGAGGTAGATGGGCTAGCACTTGTTTTCCCAGCGAAGGACTAGAAACCATTTAATTTCTTTTTGAACAAAAAGAAATATGGAGATTTCTCTTCATCTTAATTTCTTATCGGATCAGCTACCAACACATGGTCCCAATAAAATCCCAACCAGTATGGGAACATCTCCCCATGAATGACGAAGGGAGATGTTTTCAATGTACGGTTGCAGTGCCCTGTTGGAGACAATATTGTCGAGGCTCAGTTGGAAGGAGTAAACCATATTACATTTACCATGCCTTGTCATCACTATAGAGTATAGACTGGCCAGTAGTTGCAAATCCTTAGCCCAGCTCGAACATGTTTAGAGCATTTTTCTTTTAACAAACTGGGCTAAAGAGGCCCAACTGAGACCGACTAATCAATCCAAACAGGGCCAGGAGGCCAGGGCCTGAGCCCAACCTCAATGTGTCTGAGGCCATGGCCAGCATTCACACTAATATAAATAAAATTTGTATTGCAATAAACCTTAATGTGTCTAAGGCCATGGCCAGCATTGGACAAAGACCCCCTTTCGTTAGCCTTCCGTCACAATCTGCCATTGCAATATTTTTTAATTCCCATACTACCCTTGAAAGAAAAACACTGTTCATCTTCAATCTCACGATACAGCAACAGCAGCCGCAGTAACTGTTACAGCGGCAGACTTCAGAAGTCCTCCCTCTCTCTCCCGATTTCTCTCCTCCCCTTTTTTTCTCCATCTCCTCTGTTTTCCGATGTTACAGTAGCAGAGGTAGCAATAGAAGGAATCTTATCCAAAACTGGTTGGTACTTGTATCTCCTGCTTAGCCTTTGGCGGAGTGGCAAAATTCATCTGGTCCTCTCAACTGAATCGCTGCATTGTCGTAAACCTTGGCTACTTCCTCGGCGGTGTCGTAAGTTCCCAGCCACAAGCGTACACTCGTGCGGGGTCTCTAATCTCAGCAGCCCATTTTCCCCATGGTCGTTGCCGTACTCCGCGGAACTTTTGTCGTTTGATGAAGAGAGATTTAAGGGGCGCTGGTTAGACTGAATGTTTTCTCCTCCGGCTGATTTTTTCCGCCCGTTCTGAACGGATTTACTTCTCCAACCACCATTCGCGTTATCGTTATCTGTAGAGCAAGATTCAATACTGAGCCTCCCTAGCACAGTGGAGCCACCACGTTTTCCTGGGCGACGGTGGAGCCAGCTTCTTTGGTTGTGGTTGTGCCTCTGAGCCTCCCTAGCTCTCCTGGGTTGATTGATGCGAGGCCGATTATAACTAGAGTTTGTTCATATAAATATGCATGCGCCTATAACTAAACACTCTTGAAGTTGAGCATGACAAACTGTGAATGCAGCTGGACGAGTAGGGCTACTGAATGAACAATTTTGTAGAACCAAGAATGACACTAGAAAATCTCGAAATACTCCTAAAAGGATACAGAGAACAATAAATCCAAAATACGAAAAAAAGGGAAAGCTGCAAATCAAAGAAAATCAAACCCCAAATAAATAAATTAAAAGAAAAAGAAACAAAACCTCCAATGGCGTGTTGAAAATGAATTCAAGGTGTTGGTTGTTGTGGAGAAAACAAACAAAACCTGTTGGGATTCATGATTAACATCACACTAATAATTTCAGTGGATTGATAGACCATGAGTTTCATCGTCACCTCGTCTTCCCCAACATCCATCAACACACCATTAACTAGTGTTTTGAAATAAGGAAACTAAAGAGAGTGGAGAACAATCAGAAGGTAACCGCTATGAAGGTTAGAGTGAGGGAGAACATTTATTTGACTAAAGCAATTGCCAAAGTTTATTATGAAGGTTAGAGTAGCCACTATGTTTTCCTGGCGCATGATTTTTTTCTTTTATTTGGAAACTTCTAGCAAAACGTTCTCTCTCATTCTAACCTTCACTCAACTTCTACAATTGACTGAAGCAATTGCCGAATGGCACCAGCTTCTGCTATGAAGGTTCTCCGCTCTCTCCGGTCACGATGCCAGCTTCTGAAACGAAACAATGTTTTTCTTCTMAGGGTAGTATGGAGATTAAAAAATATTGCAAGGGCAGGTTTTGATGAAAGGCTAATGGAAGGGGGTCTTTGTCTCACTGTCATAGTATAGGGGGGGTCTTTGTCACATACCCCATAGTACAGGGGGGGTCTTTGTAATTTACCCAAATTTATATTCAATTCAAATTTGCTCTACAAAAAAACAGAGACTAAGGTGGCATTTGATAACACTAAAGTCTGATGTTGAAAAGTCAAAAAGCTATTTTTTAGGTCTAAAGTTTGAAAAGTAATAAGAGTGTTCTTTTTTTGCTTTTCAGAACTTATGAAAAAATAAGTGTGTTTGAGTTGGGCAATAATTCAATGTTTAAAATTACAAATTTTACCATTTTGCCCCATGAATACCCACATTTCCCCCTTTTTATAATAAACGAACTTTAATTTAATGCCATACTGTGTTTCCTCTTGGTTCCTACCGGGATTAAAGTATCGGTATCGGATATTATATCSGACAGTTTGGGTAAAGTAGGAAAATGCATACAAATTCCATAAATATATTAATACTACAAAATTTAATGTTAAAATAACCACAAGTAGTGTATAAATATAAAAAAAAATGTATATTTTAATGGTATATATGAAGAAATGCATTGCAATTATTATAATAGGATGCACAAATCATACAAATTTGTTGATAATAAATTAAACAAGAGTCTAAGACATATTATATAGATTTTTACAAAGTAATACATACACAACCATTATTATTTTATTTTCTATTAAAGTCAATTGGAAAAAATAAGCATATGCAACATTTGAATTATTATATTAATTATTTTATATATATCTTGTTTTTAATTTTTAATATTAATTAAAAGGTCAACTAAAAATTTAATTCTCAAATGTTTGGTAAGTAATATTTCTATTTTTGTAAACAATAAATATGTTATTATAAAATGTAAATTAAAGTATCAAATAATAATTTACAAAAATATATGATCTTAAAATATAACAAATCTATTAAAAGTTCGAAGATACATATCATATGTAAATTCATAATTTCTAATTACTAAAATAATTATTCCACTATTGATATTTTTGTTTCTTTAAATTATCGATTTTTTGATATAAATGTAGATTAGTGGATTTGATAGATTCAATTTATAATATATTCTCAAATAATTTGTAAATAATATTTTATTTTTATAAATAATAAATACATTGTTATTTAATACAAATCAAAATATTAAATAATAATTTATAAAATTTTTAAGATACATATCATGTGCAAATTTATAAATTTTATGCACTAAAATAATTATTAGTTTCCAAAGAAAAAGGATTAAAATGATTATTCTATTATTAACACTTTTATTTGTATAAATTTCTTAAGATTAAAACTCATTTTTGATATAAATGTGGATTTGATAGATTATTTTTTCTATTAGTTTATAATATTTTAATTTTAAATATTATTCTTTTTAATTTATAGTTGGGGAGGCTTAATATAATATATTTTATATTTATTTGAATTGGTTATAAACAATAAATAATAAAAATTAATATATTTCATTTATTATCATAAAATGAGTGTTGGCTTAGTCATTAATGGTGTATTTAATTGTTGGGCATGGTTGTCTTGTGTTCAAATCACGTTAGCCTTTAATTTTTATAGCGTGTTGTTTGATAGTTCTTGATATAACTTTGGAGTGCTAATTATAGAATTGTATTATATAATACGCACCAATACAATGGCATACATTAGTAGAAGGATATAATTCCAATCATAACGTATTTTGTACATCGGTACCTTTCGATACTAATACAATATGCCATCGTACCAATGCCTTCCTACTAGTAATCTTAGCTTTTATACCTATCAAATAGCCACACCAAATCAAACAATTTAAGAATATAAATGAATAAATAAATAAATATGTTAATTAGAAATCTTAAAATTCAAACAATATCAGATTTCTCAAATGATCTTTAATTTAAACCAAGAGATAGATTCAACAAATACAAACACTGTATTTCAATTTTAAGTAATGCTAGAATCCTAAAAAATGAAGAAAAAATGTAAATTAATAGAGGAAAGGGAGAGGGCATTATACTTTTTTTTTTTTTGATATTTGGTGATGTGGGTGAATCCCCATAGGGACAATTTGAGTATCACAGTAGCACATATAATTTTGCCTAAAACAATTGTTGATTAATTAGGCATCCACTGCCAAAAATTGTCTAGCTCTATAATTTTGACTTGACAGCAGTGATTGATTAAGTATCCGAGAGAGCTTTCTGAGAAAGAGCTAGGTAGAAAATAATGGACCTCACAGGATCAAACCTGTGTAACCCTAGACTCTGTGTGGTAAATTTCGTGGACCTCACATGCTTGCCGTTAAACTCGTCGTTACCTCTATCAGATGATAAACTTTTCACTAGGGGTTCATCCTTCCTGTAATCTTATAGCTTCTTTCTCATAATGGTTAATAAGATATTAACGTAATCATCCCTTCACCTAATAAGGGCAATTTTTTGCTCGGAATATCAATAAAAAGTAATATTTTTATAAAATAACTAAAATAAAATAATTTTTTTAGTAAAATATCAAAAAAGGACAGGAATACTGTTCATCATCTTCTCTGACTCTTTATTCATGCGAAGAAAGTGTGCGATGGTTCCACTCTACTTTTATGTTTCATGGAGTATTCGTCTTAGTTGTTTCTGCATAAATCCATAAGGAAGAAAAGATGTTAATTAGTCAATTTTCATCTGTCGTTGCGAGCCATAGCTACCCAAATGAATGGTCAGAATAAATTCAGTGGATGGTTTGGTGGTGCCATTGACTTGTTTCTGCTGACTCATAGTTCTGAGCTCTATGCTATGGATCAAGAGGGTTCAAATGAGAGATGTCATGGCCGCAGCTTGAACTTCAATGCACCGCTTCTATCAACAAGGCGTCTTGCCGCAGCTGGTTCCATCAATGCATATGCAAATGCAGATCCCTGTGGAATTGCTCGCGATATAAGTAAAAGGATCCCATTTTCATGGGAGAGATCTCTTGGAATGCCCAAAGACGACATTGAGAAAAGCGACCTCCTTGCTGAGAGCCCACCACCTCCCAAGCTTCCATCGGGTCGATGGTGTCCTCCGACGAAGTGGCCTGCGATGATGACGATGATTTACCGACGACAACAACGATGATGAAGATGATAATTCAACGGACTGTGATGACGATACCGACACCAACGACGATGAGGTTTTGTCATCAGATGTAATAGACGACAATTTCTCGTTATCAGAGTCCATAGATATTGTTGATAGCGTGAACCTTGGGGTGCGTGGATTGGAGCATGAAGGTTTAGAGATGGTGGAATCTAGAGGAAATCACTCACCGAGTTTCATAATACGTCGTTTTCTCCCGGTAGCAGATGCCTTGGCTTCTTCTTACTCAATTTCTTCAAAGAAGAAAATGCATAAGAGGGTTCCTTCTTCTTCTGCCTACCATTTCTCAAGTGATGATGATGATGATGAGTTGATCAGTGATATTCAAGTCCCAGAAACAGAAAGATTTATTCATCCCCAAAATACACTGGCATGATAGTATACACCTGCCAAGGCGTGTGGGCTTGCACCTTTCTTCCCTTGGCGCATGAAGCACACACTTTGCGGATTGAAGAGACCTATCGGCATGGCTTGCCCAGTTCCAAATTTGATGGCAATTCCAGACGAACATGAAATGCTTTGACCCAAGGAAGGTGGTGGTATGGTTGATTCATCATTCATGCCAGAATATAATCCAGAAAGAATTTATTGCACATAAAGTAGAGTGGAACCATCTCACACATTTCTTCGCATGAATGCAGAGTCAAAGAAGACGATGAACAATATTCCTGTCTTTTTTATGATATTTTTCTAAAAAATTATCTTATTTTAATTATTTTATAAAAATATTATTTTTTATTGATATTTAGGACAAAAAGTTGCATTTTTCTGCAAGAAACCCAAAAAAAACAATGGATACTACCGAGTCTACGAATTAAATTAAAGATTGATGGCTGCATTTTAAAAAAAAGGTAAAACTTATTTGCGTATTGTAGCTTCGAATCATCTAGGTCTTTTGTTAGAAGTAGGTCAAGTACGAAAGATGTTCCCAATCTATGGTACGATGTGTGTGTGAGTCAGGCGCATCATATGAGGAGCAGATCCGGTCTCCGCCCCACAACGTCTCATAACACATCTCCCGATAATAATATCAGAACGGGTGACGTATAATCATCGGGATATTCCTAATACACGGCAGAGATGTGTTGTGGAACGTTGTTGGGCAGCGCCTTGTGGGGGCGGAGATGTGAACTCCTTAACAAGATAATATCAACTTTTTATTTCAAATGCTGATGTATTTGCATTTCACTTGGATGGCGTCTGAAAAAATCTCAGCAGATTTACTTTGGGCAAATGGACAAATGAGTTGCTTGTACGTCCAAGACACTATAATCTGCAAGGCAGCTAGGCTCGGTGACGGTCCATCCCAGTCTTTGATTCTCCGCATGCTCAACCTGTTTTTTGTCTTTTCTTCTTCCAATTTTGCATGTCTGACTGATTTACCAAAAGAAAATTTTGCAAAGTTTTCTTTCTTCTAAGTTTGTGTGGTCAGGACTGAAGTGTATCACAAGTAGTTGATAACTTCAACACAAAAATGGCTCTGCTGCACCACCCTTTCATCTCCAATAATTCCTTGGCAAGAACACTCCCCTTCTCACCGCTCCCCCACAATCTCACCACTGCAACAAGAAAAACCTCAAGAGCAACTGTTTCTGTTGCAGAGCTGCTGATCCCGAAAACAAGACTAAAGCAAGGAAGAAGGGGATCCATATTTTGCTCCGCAGTAGCAGAGGTTGGAGGAGGAGCGCTTGTTGATGAGAAGGAAGGTGGAGGATCAGAAGATGATCGTGTTTTTCTGGGGCATACTCTTGTGGAAGAAGAGAAAGGACAAGTGGGTCGCGTTGAGTATGACTGGAGAGAAGAGTGGTATCCTCTCTACCTTACTCGGAACATCCCTGATGATGCTCCTTTGGGTCTCACTGTCTTCGATAAGCAGCTCGTGTTGTATAAAGATGGAAGCGGCGTTCTTAGGTGCTACGAAGATCGTTGTCCTCATAGGTAAAACCCCAGATAGTGATTCTTTTTTCTGTTATTTCCCCCCTTTTATCGTTTTAGTCCTGATGGTTTGCTTCTGTTTGTAGATTTGTCACCGAATTATGAACCTGGGTTGCTGTAAGATTAGGGTGTAGAGTAGGAATTGATGATTTTTTACCTGATTATTTAAGGTTCTTCGTTTTAATCCTGACCTAATTCTCTCTAACCCCTACCTCTTTTACTCCGTATCACATTGTTCTGGGTTTTGCCAAGAAGTCAAACCGTGGAAAAAGTAAGTCAATTAGATTGAGAATTAAGTAGTACCCGGGGGGATTTGGAGTTGTCACAAAGCCTATTACCACTGTGTTTTCCTTCTTATTGTTTGGGGATAAAGTTAAAATCAAGTGAAATTAGATATGGAAGCCTGATCAATAGCTGATTAAAATTGGAAAAAGAATATAACCTGAAGATTCTTTCTCAGTATCAACCAAGAAAAAGAAAATTGAAATTAAAAGAAAACAATTTAAATATCAGGAAATCTTTAAAATAAATAATCTTTTGGGCCTTCGCTGATATCTGTTTTCCATGTAGATGGAAGTTGGGTCTCCCTTCTGAATGATTTTTTATGTGCAATATAATATGATGTGGTGATGAACTGTTGTCTACTGTTAGGGAAGTTGGGCTACATTTTTTTTTCCTTGTCCAGTGAGCTTCTGCTTACCCTTGTCATGTACCCCTTTTAAGGCATCACTTCTGAAGTTTTAATTCATGGCCATGGAAGCTCTGATCTTGAATGTCTTCCAAAATTTGTTCAGATTAGCGAAATTGTCAGAAGGTCAGTTGGTTGATGGAAAACTAGAATGCCTCTACCATGGTTGGCAATTTGAAGGTGATGGTAAATGTGTGAGGATTCCTCAGGTCTGTCTTACTTCTTCCCCCATTTTGTCTTGACTCTTGTTCCATTTATTTTCAACAACTTGGAAAGAAACTGATCAGTATCATTCTTTCTGAACTCAAATTTGCCTTACTACAGCTCCCGAAAGGAGCACAAATTCCTCGATCTGCTTGTACCAAGACTTATGAGGTGAGGGACTCTCAAGGAGTTGTATGGGTATGGATGTCAGATAAGAACCCACCAAACCCTGATAAGCTCCCATGGTTTGAGAACTTTGCTAGGCCAGGATTCCAGGACAACTCCACCATCCATGAGCTTCCATATGACCATTCAATACTCCTTGAGAACCTCATGGATCCAGCCCATGTACCAATCTCACACGACAGAACTGATTGGAGTGCGAAAAGAGAAGATGCCCAAGCACTGGTTTTCAAGGTTACTGAACGAACTGATCGTGGATTTGCAGGCGAATGGAGTAAAGAAAGTGAGCAAGACAACCCAAGTTCCTTACGTTTTGATGCACCCTGTGTTCTCCAAAACAACCGTGTGATTGTCAACAACAAGGGGGAGAAACACTACTTATCTGGCCTCTTCCTTTGTCGACCAGCAGGACAAGGGAAATCCATGCTCATTGTAAGGTTTGGAAGTACTGTAGGATCCTTCCTACCAAAAGTGATTCCAAAATGGTACATACACCAGAATGCATGTAAGGTTTTTGAGCAAGATATGGGCTTCCTCTCATCTCAAAATGAGGTTCTTATGAAGGAGAAGGTCCCAACAAAGGAGTTATACATTAACCTAAGATCCTCAGACACTTGGGTTGCAGAGTACAGGAAGTGGATGGACAAGGTTGGGCATGGGATGCCTTATCATTTTGGTCACAGAACAATCTCACTGCCTAGGGAGCCTGCTGTGGTGGAACATGCACCAGCTGGGCTGATTGCCGGAGCATCGGCTTCCTTGCCGGCAAAGGGTGGCCTGGGAACAACACATGCTCCTAATCCGGCTAATCGATATTTCCGACATGTGGTCCATTGCAAGGACTGCAGGAGTGCCATCCAAGCTTTTGAAGCCTGGAAAAATGCCCTTTCTATCATGGCTCTTGCTTCAACTGCTTTGGCCATTCTGGTGTCAGGGAGACAATGGAAGGCTCTTCTTTTGGTTTCCACAGCATTGTTCTTGGCAGGAGTACAAGCATGCTCCTCTGTAATTGCAATCAACACAACAAATTTCATTAGGCATCACAGGAGATTGTGAAAGAAAGGAAGAGATTACTGTATATAACATGTAGGGGTATGAAGACAGTACAATAAAGAATATTTTAAGGTTCTGAGTTCAGATGTTGTGCGAGTATACAAAACCATGGTTTTAAAAACAACCATTTTGGACATCGGTTTTTGGGTTGATGGTTCGACCATCCGGTTTGAATGGATGGCCCATTCTGATAAAAAATAATTAAAAATAAAAAACAACCAAAACCGTTGAATGGGTTGATGGTTCGATTGCCCGAATCAATGGGTCATTGACTAACTCAACGGTTTATGGCCAGGGACTAGGTTTGGGATAAAACCGAAACGATTGCCTAGATGGTTCTTGGGTCGAACAGTCTGATTGTCTGGGTCAACGATGGTTCGAAAACCATGTACAAAACATATTTAAGCAATGCTACTTATGCTGCATTTGGCATTCCTTATTTTAAGGACTTACCTCCTTTTTACAATGAAAATGCCCATATGAACAATGAGTTTTTAACTACAAAAAGGAGATAAATCCCTAAAATAAAAAATGCCAAATGCAGCCTTAGTTATATACACCAATTTCAATCTATTCCACAAGGTTTAAAGTACCAATTTGATCATAAAGGATCGGTCCCAACTATATGGGATGTTGGGAGGGGTGGATTGGATATGGTCCTAACCGCGCTTGAAACCAATGCAAAACATCATCGATGTAAATATGTAGGGTTTCTAGCATATAAGGGCAACTTTTGGCGTTTAATATCAATAAAAGTAATATATTTAAAAAAAAAATTCAAAAATTGGTTAACTTTTTAAAAATAATATCAATAAAGGGCACTCAGCTTCCCTTCTAGGGCTTCAAGTTCATACGTTCCTTCCCCGAGTACCCGCTTTACTCGGTAGGGTCATTCCCAATTTGGCCCAAGCTTACCAACACCGGGCTCAGGTACCATGACTTTACGAAGAACTAGGTCTCCGACGCGGAAGTTCCGCTTCTTGACCCTGGCGTTATAGTATCGAGCTACTCTCAGCTGGTAGGCCGCGGACCTAATGTATGCGAGGTCCCGTACCTCACCAAGTAGGTCTAGGTTGGTGCGTAGTTCATCCTTGTTTGCTTCGTCGTCGTATGCTTCTAGGCGTAGCGTAGGGACCTCAATCTCGACTGGGATCACTACCTCCGTGCTGTAAGTGAGGTTGAAAGGGGTCTGTGAAGGAATGGTAGCATCCATCGTATGGACGCCAAAAAGATTGCGAAATGGGTGGGCGAATTTCAAAAATTTCCTACCTTTCCTCCAACTGGGAAACGTATTCCTTGATTTTAGAATACAATATTCAAGCATCCTACTTGAACCATAACCGAACCAGATCTGAACCAAAAGACAAGGGAAGGATTATACTTGATCCAGAGAAGTAATATCTCCAAAAGTTGGTGTTCACGCCCAAAGAAGACACCAAGATCCGCTCCTGCTGAAGATGACACAACAACTGTGGAACGGAACCAACTGAGTGCGTCCCACGCACCGAATCCTTCACAAGAATCCTCTAGAAAACAATGAGCACCGAACTGAATCTGCCTTTCAGTAAAAGCTGATATCAAGAACTCTTTCTTGATCTTTCCCTCTCAGAGAAATCGAACTGGTGGTGGTTGGTGACGACTGATGGAGGAAGAAAACTAGAGAAGAGAGTGGTGAACTGCTTTTCTCCTTTAGGGTTTCTGAGATCTAATCTTCAGAATGCAGGTGTGTCCTCTGTGAAATCCCTTGGGTTCGAATTCTTGTAATTCAAATTAGGGTTTCTCCTCCTTTTCCATAGTGATTAAGAAACCTCCTAATCCCATTAGGAGTTATCCTAATCCAAATCTGTATTTGGATAAGCAGTCTTCTTAATCCTATCTACAGATTAGATCAGCCCACTCCTGATCTTATCAGGAGGTTACCAGATTCAAATCCTAATTTGAATTTGGTCTCCATGAGTGGATAGGGTGAAGACCCAATCCTTTTGGCTTGACCTAATCTTAGATCCGCCACTTTAAGTGACTGATCAAATCAGCCCAGTTCGAAATGGGCTTTTGGCCCAATATGTTTTAAGTGCTCAATAAGTTTCTAAACTGCTATCTAGTTGGGCTTCTTTGTATGGCGTGGGACCCAAGCATTGATCTACACACCAGCCACATGGGTTTGGCCCAGCCTTTGTTAGAAGGCCTGGCCGAATTCACTAGAAAGCCCAGTGAACCCCTTGAGCCCATCACATGGACCCTATGGGCCCAACACTTACACTAAGTGGTCCCTGGGCCAAGCCATCTTATAAAAACCCAAGGACTGTGGGCAGATGCAARATTAACCCATCAGGTATTATCCTAAATGGCCTTACACTTAACCTCTCAGCCCATAATGATCAAGCACTGCCCGACAAGAGATGACCTCTCCCTCGGCTACAAGGAACAGTGTTGCACTCTCTACTCACATGGATCCCAGGAATTAAAACCATTTGCAAATAATTTGAAACCATATGTAAGTATATATCATATATATAGATTTTGCAAAACAAAATTCCAACGATTGAAATCAACTACCAGCAGTTTGGTTTCCATAAGAAAGAGTGCATTCCTCATCATTACCTTTGTCCGACAAAGGGGTTGATCTCGTCACTATGATCACCCACTTAGATGACTTCTCAGACTGTCCCAACATACCCAGGTTTTGATCCTCGCTAAGGATCTCACTGATTGGCATATCAAAGACAGCTCAATCCGACACCTAGTGCGGTACCATAATCGGGTCTAGGGGTTAGGTGTAACTTTCCATTTTTGCCCATCTATCTCCAAGGTCCAGAGCAATACTGAAAATCTGGTCCAGTTCAAGGATTCGAGTAATCCCACACTGCATGTGCCTTGGGTCTTACCCTGGTGGCCAAGACAAACCACCCCAACACTTGGTGGCACATCAATGTCAGCCTTGGCAGGGTAAATCTCCCCAGACTTATTTAACGGCTGTGAACGTTCTAAACTAACACGAGTCTCATTAAGTGTCCAGTTTAAGGGTCTTACACAGAAATATACCACATAACATGAATCAAACATGTACTTTATTTATTTACACTAAATGTCAAAAGTGCATCAAATCGGATTGAAGCTAAGGGCATACAAAACTGTCTAACAGTCTCGCCTGTTGCGGTCTTCATCGTGGTTCGATAAGCCCATAGTACGCTGGGCAGCTCATCTACTCACAGTCCCTTAGCTCGGGTTAGACGTGCCTTCAGTCCGTGGAGAATGGCTCTGTTTGTGACCTCCGCTTGACTGTTCGCTTGGGGGTGCGCCACCGAGGTAAAATTTTGTTGTATTCCCATGTCTTTGCACCAGTTCTAGAACTTAATGTCCTTGAATTGTTTGCCGTTATCAGAAACGACAAACTATATTCTTCCAGAAGAAATTCTGCACACTTCGCCCCGTGATCGTTACGAGAGGTTCGACCTCCACCCACTTAGTGAAATAATCAACTGCTACCACTAAGAACCTCCTCTGTCCTGTTGCTAGTGGAAACGGTCTGAGCATATCGATCCTCCATTATGCAAAGGGCCATGGGCTGGTAAGGTACTTTAGGTCGGCAGCGGGCTGGGGGTGGATGCTGGCATGTTTTTGACAGTTGTCACACCTTCTGACGAACTCAATCGCATCTGCCTTCATCGTTGGCGAATAATATCCTTGTCGTAGCGCCTTCTGGGCGAGAGCCCTGCCCCCATGTGTCCGCTGCACAAACCCTCATGAGTGTCGCGGAGCACAAACTCGGCTTCAAAAGGTCGTAAGCAGCGCAGATAAGGGAGCGTGTAGGATATTCGGTACAACCGTCTGTCTATCATGACGTATTTGACTGCCTGCTACTCTACCCTTTTGGCAGCATTACGATCTGCAGGGAGGGTCCCGTGTAGCAGGTAGCTTGCGAGTGGATCAACCCAGCTCGGCTCTGCTTGTACGATAGGAGCGACCTCCTCTGCCCCCCCGAGAATCCTAGGCCGAGGCAGGTTCTCTATGTACACGGTTCTTATGGTGTTATCGCTTGTGCTGGGTAATCAGGATAGGGCATCGGCCTCAGCGTTCTCGGATATCGGGATCTGTTTGATGAAGTAGGAATGGAAGTTGAGCAGAGCCTCTGACTTTGGCTAAGTAGGCGACCTTGGTTGGCTCGCGAGCTTCATATTCGTTAGTGACCTGGTTGACCACGAGCTAGGAGTCACTGCAAATAACGATGTGCTTAGCTTTTACTTCACTCGCTAGGGCCAGCCCGGCTATCAATGCCTCGTACTCCGCATCATTGTTGGACGCAGCGAACTCGAAGCGTAGCGCATACTCCAATTTCACACCGCTTGGCTAGTACATAACGATTCCAACCCCGCTACCCTGCTGATTTGATGAGCCATCCACATGAAGGATCTAGGGCTCCTCATCCCAAGTCGGGTTCGGTCTAACCAGGGGAGAGGCCGCACTGGTCGAAACTTCCTCGCTGTGCTCGGGCTCATCTGACCTGGGGACTTTGGTGCTGAAAGTGCATTCCGCGACAAAGTCAGCTAAGGCTTGGTACTTGATAGCAGTTCGCGGCTTGTACTGGATGTCGTACTCGCTAAGTTCGATGGCCCACTTTGTCAACCTATCGGAGACCTCGGGCTTGAGCAAGACTTGCCTCAGAGGCTTATTGGTGAGGACGACGATCGTATGAGCTTGGAAGTACGATCGAAGTCTCCGAACTGCAACAACTAGTGCGTATGCCAACTTTTCGATCTCTGGATACCTCGTCTCTGCTTCCTGCAACACTTTGCTAACATAATAGATGGGCCATTGGACCCGATCTACTTCTTTTATCAGTACCAAGCTTCATCACTCGCAGAGAGGTACAACTCCAAAATATCTCCCTCGTCGGGTTGGGTTATCACCGGGATACTAGCAAGGTACCTTTTGTGCTCGTCAAAAGCGAGCTGGCACTCTTCAGTCCATTCAAAATCCTTGCTTCTCTTAATTGCCTTGAAGAAAGGCATGCAGCGATCTGCCGATTTAGACATGAAGCGGCTCAGAGCGCCTATGCGGCCGTTCAACCTCTTAACCTCCTTCAA